TTGAGTTGAAGCAGGGATTTAGTCATCCTCTATAAGAGCTCCAGCATAGGACTACAGGACCTGAGTTTCCCTCAATACCCACCTAGAAGGACCAAGACAAACTCACAGCTGCAAAATTCTCTATTTTTACATTTAAAAAAAATACAAGTTTAAAGATGAATAATTATCTTTGGTAAGATACAGAAATGTTACCTGTGAAACGCTTTAAAAGGTATAACAAACCAGTGAGGTGACCCAATGGTGCCCATCAAAAAATAAAGTACTAGTTTTGTGTAGACATAGAATTATAACCAGCAGCCCTTTTGGTGGCAGTGAAAATGCACCTTTATGTTGCTGTATTTCTGTCTGTGACCTTCTAGGCATAGCCTGCCACACATAGTTGCTATAAGTACAGTTACTATTCACTTTCTATAAGGAATGCAGTGTTTGTCACAGTGATAACAAAAAACATTTTTATAGGTAACTGTAACAAGACTAATGACACCAGCAACTTAATTCATTTTTCAACAAGGCTGAGAAAATGCAAAGAATGTTTAGAAAGTTTATCCATAATGTATTTTTCTGTAGCTACCTTCCAAGATATTTTATAGCAGTTAAAACGTCTGAACTGTGATCCCAGTTTGCTTAAAGGGCCATTATTATCATAAATATTTCATTTTGATAACTGTATCTGATTAATACATGTCATGGCAGCATTCACTATATTACATTTCTTTTTTTTCACTTGCATTTATTATTTTCTCCACATTTACATGCAGACCAAGCTAACAAAAAAATGGCACTGATATAGCGGGGACAGACTATAAACTGCCAGTGGTCTTTGAGCAAATGTAGCAAGTTAAAAAAAATGATGGGAATAAAAGACGACTCTGCACAGTTTAGGGTTTTATTTTATTGTATTTCTTTATTTCTTTATTTATTGTTGCATAGTGATCCTTTAGCAATCTCACACTGATGTTGTAGCTCATTTTGTGACTACAAGTAGCATGTACTATTCAAGAGATTTTACTAAATGGGATGTCAGATTAGATTTGGCCACAAGGTGGAACCTGTATGATTGATAATAGTTCAGGTATTGACATTTGTAAAATAAATACATCAAAAAGCAACAGTTGCAAATATGCACGAACTAGGTAAGCTTTTATTCTTCCCAAATCTACTTTAGGCATCCAAGAAGGATGGATTTTTGGGTGGGCCCCTGTGTGTCAGTGTCAATCTATAGTAAATGTGTCCCATTGTGGATTATGGTGGGATCATTATGTATATCTCTATAGGCCTTGTTTGGTATTGTTTTTGTTTTGTATTGACATCTGTACATCCTTTCACTAAGCATGTATTCATGCTGTTTTATTTTGTCATGATAATAGAACCCCTATAGATTAGATGTGAGATGGAGGCAAAGAGTAGCCGTAAGGCAATGCATGCTTCCATAGAGAATATCGACTTACTAAATAATGATCACATTTCAAACCTCCTCGTGCTGTCCTGATTACAGTAAATGACTGGCAAATGTTTGGGTGTACTTTTATGAACAGTATACTGTAAAACACGTTGCTCCATATGTCTGGCTCTGCAGTGCAGTTAGATGTTTACCACATTTCACTATTTATTTATTTATTTATTGGCTACATTCTGGGGCAAAAAATATTGTTAATAAGTGCTTTCTGGATTGCTTGCCTGCAGAAATCCTACTCACTTTACACAGATATACCGACCCTAATAAAACGGTGTCAGGGATTTCTCCACTTTATCAGTCCTGCCAGGATTGATGGGCATTTGGTTTAATACAATTCGCAGAGCTGTAAAGTTGTTGCAGAAGGAGCTTCAAAGCATATCAATTTATTTTTTTTAAAGTGTAGATTTCTGTTTGTTTCTATTTCTGTTTGTTTGTTCCTAATATAAAAGAGGGGATGAATGTAATCATCTTACTGTTGGCTATGTGGCTATATGTATGAGCCTGTCCACTAGTATG